AAAAAAAAACTTTTTTTGGGTTTGTGAAGTTTTTATCTGTATTTTTCTCTCCCTAAGGTTCTGTTTTTTGAGTTTCAGCTCTTCTTATTTTTCTCTCTCTTCTCAAAGCTTTTTGGCGTTTTCGTGTGGTCAGCTGAGGATAGCAAAGGTAGGGACATATGTGGGTTCCACAGACAATCTTCTCTCTCTCTCTCTCTTCCTTTGTTTAAGCGTCTTCCCCTCTCCCCCCTTCCTGTCTTCGTTTTCCTTCTCTCTAGCTTTCCTCTCTCAAACAGTCTTCAGAAATGAGACGCCGTTGACAGAGTCATCATCTATTTGGCTAATTAAACCCAGGACGATAAACAGAGGTTTTTAATTGCCCTTCTTACCGGTTTTGGCCATCTTTTTTTCCTCTTATTACTTAATTGCCATTTCCTTTTTTATTACGAAAAGCCGGAAAGCCATCTATTCGGCATTGGGTAAGATAAATATTTTTCTTTTGGAGGGAAAATTTTATATTTTAAAAAAAATGATAAATAATATTAGTAGTATATATATGTTCACTTTCACCAATTTATTAATTGTAAAGTCAAATATAGGAATTGTAATCATAACTGTTAGTTAGAATTACTATTATTTGTAAATTTAATTAAATAATATTCATAATTTTTTTTTAGAGGCATGTTCATAAATCTATCCATATAATCATACTCAAAGGTCTTCTTATTACTAGTTAAATGTATGATTATTAGACTTAGACAAATGCAATGACATACATGGTTAAATGTTAACATTGCACATGGGTTATGGACGATGTAAAAATAATTGCATAGGTCGCTGTCCAAATATTCATCATTGAAAATGACAAAAGGCTTCAGACGTTGGGCATGCTAATTTTGTACTATGTACAAATTACTATGTATTTTTTATCAAACCAAATAAAAAGGAAAAGCTTGTTTTGCTTTTAAACGCTTAAATTTTGTACAAAAATGTTGAAATTCCTTACTACATGAACTGGCAGTCTCGTGATTATGCCAAAAGCAAAGGGTCATTTGAAGTGCTTTCAAATTTTAATCTTTCACGACAAGACAAAGGGATATCCCCGGGTCTTTGCTGGCATTGCAAAAAAATAGTAAACTAATATATTTAATGAATTTTTTATTTCGCATTTGAAGTATATTTTAAAGGAGAAAAATATAGGAATATTATAATTAGACGAAATCGTATGCCATTTCGCACATGCTGAGACAGTTTCTGTCCGAATTTCAAACCGGTCTTTCACCTAAAATGACCAAACAACCCCTATAACAAAAATATTGTCTCAAACTAACTATATATAAGTTGGGAAGGCTATTTATGTATTCTTGTTAATATTGCCGAGACTCCCACGGAATTGGAAACTTGATTATAACTTTAAAAAAATGTTTTAAAATAAAATAACGTAGGTAACGTAGGCCTAATCAAACTATGTATAAGTTAGAGAAGCTAATATTATTATTTGTTTGACTCGAATTTTTTCGCTAGTTATTATGCAAGTTGAACTAATTTTTAAATGACTGAAGAGAATTAAAATTGCCAATAATGGTTGCATTTTTTGTTCAAAAGAAGTACGCGTTTATATATAATATTAGCTGTGTGCGTGATTAATCAAAGTTTTGGTTTGGTGAAGACTTAATTATGCTATAGAAAAATTTATTAGTGTAAAAACGATGTTAAGTTAAATTAAAAAGGCAATTATCATATGATTATTCATGGTATAAAAGTAAGCTATAAAGTAGCTGCGGTTATCATATCCTGACACAAGCTAGGTAACTCATTATGAACTTAGATTCTGCCTACATCTTCTGCATGTACGAAAGAAGAAGACATTAACATCAGCAATCAATTATATTATATTACCATAATAATTGTACATTTAAAAGGTTTTCATATCTCCAATCCTTCTTAGCTTATTGAATTTGAACCAAATTGAAAAAATATATATTTTTTAAAATTTTTCAATGTACCTTTGTTGAATATTAGTTAATTGGTCAATACATGGTTAACATTTCCCTTTATTTATTAGTATTATTATTATTATTATTTATTTTTTCTACAACCTCAAACATCAAAATTCAAATGAGTTGTAATTCGTCTACAAAATAAGCGGTCCAACCTGATTGCCAAATAGCGAATAGGTAAAGGCTGCAATCCTATTGGGTTTGGGCTTGGCTACTATTGATATTTGATACAAAAGCTTGATATGATAAATAAGATTTCAAATTTTTCCTTTTTATTTTATTTATTTTTATAATTAAAAAAAGGTTACAAAAACAAAATTATGTATATTTTTGTTCATATTTGCACTTATTATCTTCAATGTGTAGATTTCCACTGTGGCATGATCCTTGGGCTTAAAAAAAAGGAAAATTGTAAATTAAAATTTACCATGCTGACTACTTAAATAAATACAATTTTTACAAACTTATTTCCATTATTATTAATAATTAATAAAAATTTATTTTCTAAGCAAATTATTAATTACAATTATCTAGATTAAACAAAATTTTTTGTTAAAGAAAAAAAAACTTGTATTTAGTTATGTGTATTGTTATATTTTGTATAATCAACTCATAAATGGAGGGTGAAATATATGAAAGTAAAACATGTAGGATTAACATTTATGTACAAATATAAATTTTTAAACATTAAGTTTGGGATGCTTAAAGAAGGAAAGTTTAGTTTGAAACAGGAATATATGAGGAAAAAAAATCTATTAATAAGATAAGATGGTTAAAACAACGTTTTTAGTTTTTAAATTATAAATTATTGATCATATTGATCATCTAATCTTTGAACAGGTCTGTGTCTTTTATTTTGGTTCAAAATGGTTAAAAATTAAAATATTTTTACAATTTTTTATTTTTGTTAACAGAATAGTTGTATTATAAATTTCTGATTTTTTAATTAAATTGTAAGGTAGAATGATAAAATTGTATTTATTAAAAAATAAATGTTAAATTTAATCTATCATCCAAAATAAAAGTGACAAAAATTTGGAGTTTATCTCTAAAAACAATATTTATGATTTATATTTAGACAAAAAGATAAATATACAAATAAACCCCAAATACTATATTGAGAAAGTCAATTTAGTCTCTCTTTTTTTATTTACATTCAAATAAGTTCTTAAACTTTTAGTTTTGATCAAATAAGCCACTCTCATTAATCATTGACTAGCTTTTGTTAGTTAATATTATAATTAATAATTTTTTATGTCAAGTCATTTATCACGTGACATTGATATCATCGAGATAGCACATAAACATGTCATGCGGAAGATAACGTGGCATAAAAAATTACTAACTAAGAATTAAATTTTTTTCTTTTTATCCCTCCAAATGTTTTAAAAATATTGATTATAGGGATTTAAAAAAATAAATTTAAAAAAACTAATTGCTTTGAACTAATTATTATCATTTCTTAATTGATTATCATCTTTTTAATTAAAACCATCATTCCTAAGAAAAAAAAATCACTTTCTTTAACATTCCTCAAATCTAAGCTACCTTATATTAAAAATGTTATCTCATTGTCTACAATTCATATTTCTCTTTTAAAAATCGTTATTTAAATAATATTAAATTTTTAAAAACTTTGAAAGATGTGGAGGGATAATTTATTATTGTTAGTAAATAAAATTAAATACTATTAAATTCCCTTACAGATTCTTGGGAAGAGAAACAAATGATTTGACTTTTTTTTATAGATTATAAAATAAAAATATTAAATTTCTCTTATAAATTTTAGAAAAGATAAAGAAAGGATTTTATTTTCTTTGCTAGTTTAAGTATTATAAACATTACTCTTCCTTTTCTTAAAGTTGGTCATGTGTATTATCAAATTTCTTTATACCAAATTTCAGTATTGAATTAGGTTTTTTTAATTAGGAATGATGGTTTCAATTAAAAACAGAGTAATCAATTAAGAAATAATGATAACCAGCTTGAAACAATTAGTTTTTTTTTTCATTTTTTATTTTAAATCTTTAATTAATAATTTTTAGATGTTTGAAAAGAAAAAATTTAATTCCGAGTCAATAATTTTTGATGTCACGTGATATTGATGTTATTAAGATAATATGTCAACATATCAAATGGCATAAAAAATTATTGATTATACGGTTAACTAACGAAAGTTAGTCAATTATTAATAAGAGAGACTTATTTAACTTAAAATAAAAATTTAAGTGTTTATTTGAATGTAACAAAAAGATAAGGGTTAAATTAACTTTTTTTATATAATTATGAGGGTTTATTTAGATGTTTAGTTTTAAAAAAACCATCATTTGTGAAAGATTATTATTCTATTCCCATAATTATAGTAAGCATTTTATATGCCAATTAAATAATTAATATAATATTTTAAAAAGTTTTTTTGAATTATTTAAAAAATTTTAAATATATTTTTATTTTTTATTATGTTCAATTAAATTATTATATTTTTATTTCAAATCAAGTAGGTGATATTAACTATTAACAAACTATATTAGTTAAAACGTTATTTGATATTTTTATGTTACATTATGTTATTGTGGAGGGTAAAAATGTGATAAAGATATATAATACCACATGATTATATCATGTTATCATTCAATATGACATATTAATATGATATGTTAGAACCACATCATATAAAATAATAAATAATATTTTAATTAATATAAGTTAATTAATTATTAATTATAAAAAATATTTTTTATTTAATAAAATATAAAAATTTAATTAAATATAATAAAAAGATTTTATTTAAATAATTTCAAATATTATATTTAAACAATTTTACATAAATTATGTAAACACCCGAACATAAATTTAAATTCAATCGTGAAGTTAAATGAGGATGAAAAGCTAATTACTAGTTAGTTGTTTTAATTTCACATAACCATTTATTTTGGCCAGTGCATATTAATCATCATTTGGTTCTCTTTATTTGTTGAGGTTAGTAAGTACAAAAATAAATAAACCCCGCCGTAAAACCCCACTTGCCTAGTTGGCTTCAAAAGCTAAAACGCAGAACACCGCACTCAGATCTCCCAGACTCCCCACCAAACTCTCCCCAGAATGGCGGCTTTTTCTCTGTTCTCCTCTGCTCATATTGCCACCAAACCCAACCTCCATTTCATCAAAGCCTCCACCTCCGATCTTCCCAAAAGCTCCCCTCTACCGCCATCACCTTCGACGCAGCCGCAGCAACCACCCCTCAAGCCCCACCATAACATCCGCGAAGAAGCTCGTCTCCACAACGCTGTAGCCAACGCGACCAACCACCCTCGCTTCACAGCCAAATACGTCCCATTCACCGCCATTTCCGATCCTTCATCATCCGACGAATCATACTCTCTGGACGAGATCGTCTACCGATCCCAGTCGGGCTCCCTCCTCGACGTCCACCACGACATGTCCGCTCTCAAACATTTCGATGGCGCGTACTGGCGAAACCTCTTCGATTCCCGTGTCGGAAAAACCACGTGGCCGTTCGGTTCCGGTGTCTGGTCCAAAAAAGAATGGGTCCTACCAGAAATCGACGACGATGACATCATTTCCGCTTTTGAAGGGAACTCTAACCTCTTCTGGGCCGAAAGGTACGGCAAACAATTTTTAGGAATGAACGATTTGTGGGTGAAACATTGTGGGATTAGCCATACGGGAAGTTTTAAAGATTTGGGCATGACGGTTTTAGTTAGTCAAGTTAACAGGTTAAGGAAAATGAATAAACCACTTGTTGGGGTTGGGTGTGCTTCAACAGGTGATACGTCGGCAGCATTATCTGCTTATTGTGCAGCTGCTGGGATTCCTTCTATAGTCTTTTTACCTGCTAATAGAATTTCAATGGCTCAACTTGTTCAACCCATTGCCAACGGTGCCTTTGTTTTGAGCATTGATACTGATTTTGATGGATGTATGCAGTTGATTAGGGAAGTAACAGCTGAATTGCCGATTTATTTGGCAAATTCGCTGAATAGTTTGCGGCTTGAAGGACAAAAAACGGCTGCTGTTGAGATTGTACAGCAGTTTGATTGGGAAGTACCGGATTGGGTTATTGTTCCGGGTGGAAATCTTGGGAATATTTATGCTTTTTATAAGGGGTTCTCTATGTGCAAAGAGTTGGGACTTGTTGATAGGATTCCTAGGTTGGTTTGTGCACAAGCTGCTAATGCCAATCCATTGTATTTGTATTATAAGTGTGGTTGGAAGGAGTTTAATCCTGTGAAAGCAAATACAACGTTTGCATCTGCTATCCAGATTGGTGATCCTGTTTCCATTGATAGGGCTGTGTATGCTTTGAAAAATTCAAATGGGATAGTCGAGGAGGCTACTGAGGAGGAGTTGATGGATGCTATGGCACAAGCTGATTCTACTGGGATGTTTACTTGCCCTCATACAGGAGTGGCGTTGACTGCATTGATTAAGCTTAGGAAAAGTGGAGTTATTGGTCCTACAGATAGGACTGTGGTGGTGAGTACGGCTCATGGGTTGAAATTTACACAGAGCAAGATTGATTATCACTCCAAGGATATTAAGGATATGGCTTGCCGGTTTGCTAACCCTCCTGTGCAAGTGAAGGCAGATTTTGGTTCGGTTATGGATGTTTTGAAGAAGTATTTGTTGAGTAAAGCCCATTAGGCTGATTATTGTGAGCATTGTAAGATTTGCTCTTGTACCTTTCTATTGTTTGGTTTAGGCATTGATATTGCAATCGTAATGTATCTTTCTTTGCCAACTTCTTAGAGCCTTCTTGTTAGGATTGTAGCTTTTGAAGAGAGAAAACATCTTTCTGGAAGCATACCAATTTTGGATGAGCTCTTTACTATTTGATTTTAATGCATTTTTCTTGTTGAACTCTTTTCTAGAAGTGTTTACTAATTATATTAGTATACTTTACCACATAGTAGATGGCTTTATCTTTTGGTATTGTTGGTGGCTTTGTTGGGATGGTTATTCAAGAGGTGAATGATCGTGACTGGAATAGACTTGCCATTTTTTTGGGCCAATACATAAATGCCGTAAGAGTCGTTTATTTTATGCTTCTTTACAGAAATTGTTATGGAATTTAGAATTTTTTCATTCAAGAAACCAATTGTCTCAGATATGATCAATTGTGGGAAATGTGTGGTTCTTTTGGCGAGCTTATCTGCAAACATTTCAACTTATCAATGCTGTCTTTCTATCCATATCTTTAGTGTGAAGAAAAGAGATTGGCCTGATAATGGTCTAAGCCATTATGTGTAATCATCATAGTTTTGGGGTTTAACTCTGAAAGATGAGGGAGGGTATGAAAAGCAGGAAATGATGTGTCTTAAGGAGAAAGCTTTCATGAAAAGATGTCTGGTGATCTGCTATGTGAAGCATGGATTTAATTGAAAAGTAAGGGCAGGCCAGTTGCTTGCTTGATTTATGATTCTTTGAGAAGTAGCAGAGATTGGAGTTTTCTTACCCTGAAGATTGGCATCATCAAGAGATAATAGGTGACAAAAAATGCAATAACCTCGATCAACTCTTGCAAATTTGCTAGTTTGAGAAACCATATGAACTATAGTAGCATACTTATAGACTGTAGTGTCTCTTTGTCAGGGTGTGGTATTTGGTGTTTGTTCCTGGCATGATGTTCCCAAACTTCAGGAGTTGATTAGCTTTTACTCGTCTGATCACCCACCCCTGCCCTTTTTTTTTCCCAATTTTGCTGTAGCTATTTATTGCCTTAGATTAAAAAAAAAAGGGGGAAAGAAAGAAAAAACCGTGGGTGAATTAATCTTTCAGCGCCAGGTCACTCTTTGAACACTAGAGATACTAACATATAGGTCCCATCAGGGACGGAGTTAAGTATTTTTGTTTTGGTGTTAAAAAAAAAAAATAAAAACTAAAAATTTTTAAAACTAATGTTTGATATTAATCAATATCAAAAGATTTATAATAGATAATAATTTATATAACATCTTAATATAAAAAAAAAAAAAGACTTATAATATTATTTAAAAAAGTTGTGCTCGACGATATTTTCTAATTTAAATTCATTAATTATTGATCTGTACTGAAAAGACCAGCAATGCTTTTTTCAATATAAACAACTAAATTATCTGAAAAACTTATATCCATTTTGTTCCGAAATCTTTTTTTCACAATTTTCATTGTTGAAAAAGCTTTCTCTGTAGTTGCTGTAGAAATCGGAAGAAGTCAAAATAAGCGAATTAATCTATCAATAAGTGGTAATTTTTGACTTTTATGTTTCTATTAATTCTGGCAAATTCAGAAAGTGTTTTAATATTTTCAAAACTTTGATGATGAGGTATATCGAGCTCGTATGCTTCAATTGTAACCTCAAAATAAGTCTTTTCTTATTATGTGAATCCTGAAAAAAAACTCTCTCTAACTTGAGATATTATCAATATTAGTGATTTGTAATTGTTATTAGGATCCAAAACAGTGCTTAAAGTTAAAAGTTCACAGCTTGCTCACTGAATTTCAAATTCAATTTTTGTAACTGGTATTATTGTCATAAGAATATATCAACTCGATAATGATTCACATTATATCTGGTTGATGAGATCGACCTCTGCCCAAACATATCTTGCCCATTAGGAATTTCTATCTCATATTGTTGACAAATTTTTTTTACATTCTAAATTAGACCACCCACATCTCTCAACTTCTGAAAGATGATTTTATGGTAAAAAAGAGAATTGCATTTAAAATATTTGAAAGTATAATGTTAATCTTGGCAAAGCACATAGTGATTTCCCATGATCTCATGCATTAAGTGTAATACAAAATAAATTCAAATGATGCTAATATTTTACTAAGCATAAGCATCACCTCTTTGTGAATAACTGGCCCCTTCTCAATAATCTTTCCACAAACAGGGGGGAGGGTAAGCTACACGGCCTCCTGTAAAATATTTTTAAAAATATTTATTTTTTATATATTTTATCAATGGCCCCTAAATTTTTTTAAAATTTTTTTTTTATATATATTAATGCGCCACTCAAAATAATTTTTTTATTTAATAATTGATATAAAAAAAAAAAAAAACCTCACAAACCTACTTAATTTTACCCCAATTAAGTTTCTCTATACCTCTTTCTTTTTTCTTTTTTTCTCTCCTTTTTATTTTTTTTATTTATTTTTCTTTTCTATAACTCCCATAAAAACACACTTGATTCTTCAAAAGAGATTTATGAACTTGTGAGTTTTGAAAAAAGAAAGATAGAGATCACCACCACCATTGTGTAAAATTAAAGAGGTAAATTTTTTCTTTTTTTTCTATTTATATTATTTAACTATTATGTGAAATCTATATTTTGTATTTAGTTATTTATATTTTATTCCTTATAGTTTTATGTTTTATTTTTTAAGTTTAAATATAAATAAATAAAAATATCGAATGTTGACTATATTATTATTTTTTTTCAGATTTGATTAAAATATGAGTAAGTTGAAGACAATTGATAAATTTTTTTTTAAAAAAGAGGTAGATGGCTTCAAATGATTCTCCTGCACTTGAGTCACCAAACCTTAATACTTCAACTCATGAACAAAAACAGTGTGAATCAAAACGTCTAAAGCTCAATCCTAAAGAAATTGATACTTTTCATATAGAACTTGATCTTGAATTACGACCAATGATATGAGAATTTCTTATCAATCAAAGGGATGAAATTCGTCGTGCTTATTTCAAATGTGAGTAATGTCAACTCATTCTTAAGACATCAAAGGGGGGAAATTCATCGTGTTTATCTCAAACGTAGACCATGTTAACTCATTCTTAAGAAGTATCCTCTATCACATGATGATCATTCTCGTCATTTTCAAGCTTCTTGATTTAAATTATATCTTATTGGAGTATTTTTGTGATAAAGATATTATATTTTGTTTGCCATGCTACCTTTTTGGTAAGAACATTGCTTGATTGAGTCAGCAACAATTTTATGATAAATTTCCCAGCCTCCTACATTGACACCCAATAAATGACCCTTGTACGCAAGAAAGATAATTTTCTATCTGCACAAACCAGGAACACCCAATATTTTTCAGTCAAAAAAGAAAACTTAGAAACAGATTCATCAATGCCTAATGTCAGTATGTACCAAGAAGTCCATTCGTGCTCCTCCGAATGGCCTCAAACTAATTTAAATCCTCCTTTGTTAGGAAGACGTGCTATACAATTACGGTTATAACCTCCAAAGCCTAGATCAGGAACCTCAACATCATCCATGACGATGGGGTTTGCAACATAGAGAACCTTAACCCTTGCATAACAAAATACTGACATACCTTCACAACTACTGTCAAGTAATCCTGGATATATAACTATGGTTGAAGTTAGTAATTTCAAAGTCCCCATTTTTCTTTAAACTCAAGAAAGCGAGCTCAACTGTATTTGTTCTGAAGAAAGAGGCCACGTTTTGACCTCTACAAGTGTGTCTCAACGGGGGTTGCAAATGATCTGTGCCCACGACCACGGTCTCTACCGATGACTCTTTCTTCTCTGGCTGCTAGCAGGGCTCCTCGTCGAACAACAAGATAATCACCGTCCACTATTAGATTTCGTATCCGACGAAACGCTCGAAGAGCGGCGTTAGTTGCTTCGAGTATGACATCTCTACACTGAGGGTGTAGAGATAGCTAGATAGGTGATGTGAGGTCGAGCGTATTCAGCGCTGCAGGATTTAAGGCCTTCATTTCATCGAAAAAAACATAAACGGTTTTTTCAAGAGACAATATACGGCCTTTCTGAGTAAAAGCGTTTTGGCGTTTGCTTGACAACGGATAGATGTACTTAGATGATAAGACCTCCTCAGACAGACGCTCCTCTGTGCATTGGCAGCCGCCGAATATAAACCACAGAAGGAACAACCACAGGCCGTACGGACCGCACCGGAAATCGAAGCCGTGGGCTGGGGATTATCAATAATATTATCTGTTTCATTGACGAGGTATGGCTTCCGTCCGGTTACTGGTTAGACAAGTTTTCTTTTAAAAATATGAAAGGCCGTGAGCTAGGGCTTATGCATTTTCAAACTGGTGTTATTATAAGCAAAAACATAAATAAAACTACTTTAAAACTTACCTCCAATTAATCTATATAAAGTACCTTAAAAGGTTTTTTTTTTCTTTTAAATAATACTACAAGACATGCCGAGCCCAATTTTTTTCTGTTCTCCACGTCCCCTGCTGTAGTTCTAAGTTTGTAGAATTTTTTTCCACCAAAACTAAGCAACTGTCAAAAAGACTTGAAAGAGTAAAGCAAGGAAGCATGGAAAAGTTATCCAAACAAAACTTCCTTAAAATATAATCCACTCTCCTCAACCCCTGAATCTAATGCTAAGAAGAGAAGTTGAAGAACATTGGAACATAGAAATGGACCGCAAGTAGAACATAGAGAAGTTCAAGGGCCCACCAAGGCTACTAAAATATTTTAGTGAAGTTCAGATTAATCTTTGCATTACTTTGGGGATTGTTTCTTTCTTCAAACTTTGCTCGAAACATGAGGATATCTGATAATTGTTTGACATTTGCAGTCACAATTCTTATCATCTGGTTTGCATAGTGAGGCACTGTTGGTTTTTCCAATAACCTTGGCCGTTAGTTCTTATGACAGGGGGAGGAATTTTCTTTATGAATGTCTCTGAACTGTTCTATTCTTCAGATGAAAAGAATCATGATGAACATAGTGAAATTTCATGGGTTAAGGTCCATGTTGAGCAAAGTGGTGTCTATAGGGTAGAATCCGGAGATGAACGTGCAGCTCGACTGAGGAAAACCATAGAGAATAATTACTTTCCAGCAACAGGTAAATACTGTGTAGAATGTGGGTCCATGATAGCATATGATATTGCTTGATTTTAGGCTTGAATTGGTGTTGCTATTTAGCCCTTTCCTGGCTAGATACATTGCATTCTGATAGACTGCAACAGATATATGAGAACTTGTTTTGGCCAATGTATTAAGCATCCTAGTGCAATAAGCAACATTTTCATTCATGATTTATGTTCCTTCCTGATCAATCAGAAATGATCTTATTTTCAGACGTCTGGATGACATTGTATGCTCTGTCTGTGGCTTGTGAACAATCATTATCATCTTTGCTTTCCTTAATGATTGCATATCACAAGAGGTTGATTATATTGTGCTATCAAAACTTATTGATGTAAGGAGATATTTTCACCTTGATTATGGCGCGCTTAATAATTATGCAACCTGACATTTTTGGCATTTTTGGCTACATGTTTTCCATAATGTTCTGAGGATCATTAAAGATGCTATTCCAGATCTAGTAAATGCATTGAAAGAATCTTTCATCAATCTCCTCCTATTTGCTGCTGAGTAAGAACAGTTCTTGAGTGCAGATATAATTAAACCAGTGATGGCAGTTACAGACTTCTATCTTAATCAGTTTCAGGAGTTTGCTCAAAATATGATTGATGACTGCTAATTAGATATGCATTGCAATCAAGTTATCGTTTTGTTGGTCTTTTCCAGCTTAAAGTTTCTTGATATCTCATGTTCGTAAAGTTCTACATAAGTTGTTCTTATTTATAGCAATCTAAGTTTCTTGTGATCAAGGACAAAAGTATAAACATGATACAATGCTTTTAAGTAATTTTCTTGCGGTCACAGCCAAACTATACACAAGATACTTTGATTTACTTTTCTTGCAGTCACTGCCGAAGTATACCCATGATACACTGATTTAATTTTGTTGCAGTCACCTACAAATGTTATAATTGCTTGCTACTTTTCAAAAGTTGGCTTTGGAGTAGCACCCAACAGATAAACATGATATTGTGATTTACATATCTTGTGGTCACAGACAAATTTGTAGTTGATGCTATTTTTATGCAGAAGTCAAGGCTTGCAATCAGTACCCTGAGAGAGTTATTTAGATGCGCTCTTAAGTGAAGAGGTCTTTATGGCAATATTGGCTGCTTTTGACCATGGCAAAACCCACAACGAAGCAATGGAGCACTTTCAGACATTCTTGGATGGCAGAAACACTCTAATTCTTTCAGCAGACAGAAAAAGGTTTTAAAACAGAATCTTGTAAGGTCCACATACGTTGCTTATTCTATGAATCTTTGCAAAATGTATGATACCTAAAAGGCCTGGTTGCTCGACAGGCTGCTTATGTCGCTGTTATGAGCAATGCTAACACAACAAATAGGGATGGTTTTGAGTCCCTAGTGAAGGCTTGTATAGAGCAACTTATGCAGTTCACAAGAAGGAACATGTTTTATGTAAGATTTGATTTTTTGGAGTTTTTAACGTTCTTAATCTTATGTGTCTGGCATTCATGTTCACATTTCTGCAGGTCAAATATTATATTTCATGTTCTATATTTTGATCTGGTATAGGTAAAATAGTTTCTTCTCCAGGCCCGGATATAGTTGAAGAGGTTCTGAACATTTTAATATCTGATGAGGTATTATTGAGCTATGCTTAGTCTCCTTTCACACCACAGTTTGCTATGGTTTCTGTCACCTCGAAACTCATTCAGTTTCGAGATCAAGATATTATCTGTGGACTTGCTGGAATTAGCTTGGAAGGCTCTGAAATAGCCTGGGGGTGGTTGAAGGGATGCAGTTTCTGCAAAATTGGCTAGGCCATCGATGCACTTTACCTTGAGCCTCAATTACTTGTAGTATGAGATTTTTGGGAAGAATTTCCAGGGATGTTAATGAGCTTGGGAGTGATCAAACATCTCTTACAATGTTTGGTGCCTCTTTAAATTTACAATTTACCGAGTAATGCATGCAGGAGAACTGGAATCTTATCATAGACAACTATGGTGATGGTAGTCTACTCAGAAGTTTTGTCAAAAAGCAATTAAACCTAATACAACAGCCATGATATATTTGCATGTATGGATAGGAATTATTAACTTCCAAGATACCAAGCCATGATGATAAGCAGCCAGCTTGTTGCTTCTATGATATCCAGTCTCTAAGACAAAAGCTACTCATAGTATTCTGCTAAATGCAATTATGTCAGAGCCAGAAAAGATTATGATATATCTACTTATTTGAGTGGACTGATTTGGTTAAACTCATGTGGGCAGTTTTGCGGCAATGAGAAAGGTGATGAGATAAGAAGAATGTTTGGTGAACCATATGAGACTTTCTTTTGAAGTGACCTTGGAAGGGATATTAACTTCATGTCATGATCTAAATTCCTTAATTTTATGACCATGACTTATATCTGCATTGTATGCATTCATTAAAAGGAAAAAGTTAGTGTAATGACAGCTCTAAATATCAACACACAACCAACAGGTTGTTGATTCCAACCTGGTATAGAAATGAGCAAACATGGTTTGTTTTATACATTTAAAACTCGTTTAGATTTGCCATTTGACTTTCTTTTTGATTAGGTGAAATCTGAAAGAAAAAAGAAAAATGGGTTTTAAGTTGTTGCATGCCACCTATTTGGGAATCTTGTGCTCATTATTATTATTAAACATGAAAGAGGGGTGGACAACTATATGTATTAAGAAATTCTTTCACATGCAATAAACATCTCATCCCAAATCCAAACAGAGAAAGACATATGAAAGATTGCTTTCTGTTTCACAAATAAACATAACAAATTGGAAATAATATCTAGCAATCATGATACACCAAAATTCTCCTATAAAAATTTGAATAAATTATAATAAATACATTATAATACAACTCCATGAGAAAAAGGAAAAAAAGAATTGAGAATTTAAAAAATAAAAAGAAAACCCTGCGTATGTGTAATTTTTCTTCTTCTGTATATGTAAGAACTAAGAACAACTCAAATAAAATGTTAAAAAAGAAAAAGAAAAAAGAAAGCCTTGTGCTTCTTACACAGTGCTTGGGCCTGGGTCAGGCCCAAGATTTGACCTCCCCCTGACGGAGTTCAACTTCTCCAGCTTCAACCCAGCCCTGAACCTTGCAATGAAATTATCAGCTTTGGTATCCACATCTGGGCTTGGACAAAACAATGGGCCCGACTTTGATTCTCCACCGTCCATTTCACCCGTTTTATTACCATCTGACGGACTCGCTTCACCGCTCAATGGATCATCTAAATCCGGTGACCCGCTCCGTGAACTCTTAATGCTTTTTAATCTAACAAAATCACCGTGCACCTCAAATTTCCACGCCGGCATTTTAAATGGCGGAGGAGGCGGCGGCGGGGGAATTGGATTTAACGGCGATTCGTTGCCACTTTCAACGCTTTCCTCCACATTGTGCATATTTCTTATCTTGACCGGCAAAAGAGGTTTTTGGATGGTCACCGGTGGTGTCTGGGATTCTCTTTTTGATGCACGCGCTTCCACCGACGGTAGGGCTGGCGGCGGTGGAGGCATTGAATGATTCTTTCTGGCTTTGTTTTTCTTGGAAGGAAAGATGTCCTGATAAAATGAAGGTTGTGGTGGTGGCGGTGGCGGTGGCGGAGGCGGTGATGCTGGTGGATATAAAGGAGGCGTTGAAAGTTTAAAAAATTCATCAAGGTTTTCCACGCTACTTTTTCTTTGCTTCTTCCTTTTTTTTCTTAAAGAAAATAATAAGCCTTTAGTTACCTCGCCTCTCTTTTTCTCACTCTTGTTACTTCTCTTTCCAAATACAGATGGTGGCGGTGGCGGTGGCGGCGGAGGAGGAGGTGGTGACCAAGCTGATGGTGGTGTTGGTGGAAGAGAATGCTTGATTTTCAACTCACTTTTTATACCTTCCTTACGTTCACTTCTCTCCTTAGGTTTAAGATCTTCATATGTCCGCTTGGGTTTTCTTCTAACTACCTTAGGAGGCTGCGGTGGAGGTGGTTGAGGTGGCGACGGAGATGATGCTGTTGCTGCAGGTGGTGGGGACGAAGATGGCGGAGGAGGAGATGGTGGCGGCGGAGGCCTGTGAACAGTATCAATAGCTATATCCTTTGTATTATTACTGTAAACTTCTTCTCGATCATGCTCTCGCCTTGACCTACTACGGTAATTATACAAAGGAGTATCGTCATAAAATCTCCAGCGATCATCACCGTTCATCATCCAAGAAGATTCCGGCCGTAGATCTGGATACGAGTTGCTGCTTCTCAACCTTTGTAATGAGTTATAAGCCGTCCGATCTGATGATGACGAGTAGTCATACCATTGACGCGGGGTTGACGGGTTTGATCTTCCGACATGATCACGGACATGTTTCGGAGTGGTGGAAAATTTATAATCTTCGTAAGTACTTCTGGTATCACTGTCATTGTTGCCATTGTTTTTGCCAAGGAATCCACAGATTATGGCGAAAAGCACGAGGACTAGATTGAGGGAGTCCCATGATTTCTTAACAAGGTGTGGCTTGAATATTTGGGATGTGAAGGAGAGAAGCGAAGGGATGATAACGAAGATGAAAGCAAATGCAACGACTAACAAGAGGATGATGAGAATACCAGTGTTGAAGAAGAGGGATGACCGGCGGCGGCGGCCGCGTATAGGGTGGTTGTCGGTGGTTTGGAGCCAAAACGGTGTCATGTCCTCGTCTTCCTCCATATTTTGAGAGTAGGGTTGCTGTTTGCTTTTGGAAGAGAGAGCGTGAATGGCGAAACACTTTTTGGGCAACACTTTAGGCTTTGCTTTGTTCCTCTTGCTTTTTGCTTGTGGTGGGTTGCTTTTATGCCTTTGTGTGCTAAGCTATGGGCTTGCTTATATAAATTGAAGGATGCAGTGCTTGATAAGATTTGTTCAATATAGTTTGAAAATGGGGAGTTATGTAATGATATTTTATGCAGCAATAATGTGTGGTCACTATCCTTTTAATTACTTCAAAGAATAATATAAGAGTAATAAATATTACAATGTCTACTCGACAGTCGAGAGAGAGAGAGAGATGCCTGCACATGCGGCCTGTCCTCGTAGCAACGACAGCGAAAGCGAAGAATAGGTGTATCCCTGGATTCAAATTTTAGTCAGTCAATCACTCCTATAATATTGCCAGAACAATGTTAGCTAGCCTTGTGTGATCTTCACATTTTTTCTTCTTCTATAATTTGTATATATAAGAGGTAAATTCTTCTTGTACAACAAGCCAATTGATCTTCTAATTCGTACAAGAATGTATAATTTGATGACTGTTAGTACATAAATTTAGCCATTCTTAACAAGTTATGCAATGTTCTTTCCCATTCTAATTAACAAAGAGTTTAATGTACTAATTAATTCTGATTGTATTTCTATTTCGCATCTTCTTTTCTTAGGACATGCTGCCCACTTCATATTAAATCTAAACACGTTTAACAAATTTTGAGTTAAATCAAATTATTATAGTCCATGGCAGTTGGGTTTCCCAAAGATATACACAATATGATGGACCGAATTACTATTACATAATGGTCGTTAAGTTATAATTTGTCACGTTTTAAGAGTAGGGAAAATTTGAGTCAAAGTCATAGCATCCGCGTATGACAACTAAGCTTACTAATACCCCTGATGACGTATCGGCGAAAGCTTGCAGTAGGAAGGAAGGACAAGGCCAAGCAACAAGGAAAGCAGGCTACAAGGCTTATAAATGTTAACAAAAGCGCGTTTTTCCAATTTGTTACGAGTCTTTTTCCATACTGCTTTTGTCCTTCTCTTCCTTTTTTTGGTTAACGAAAAAAGAAAAACACATTTAAGACTTTTGCTGCAAGAACTACAGCTTAAAACCCCTAAAGCAGTTTAGATGGGACCCTGGCTTTTTGGGGGTTTTCCTGTGGCAGAAATAATGGGGGAGGGAACTTTGGATTTGGACTTGATGCCATTTTGGTACAAGTTTTGAATGTTTTTGGGAAGGATGCTCGTTTGGGCTTGCTTTGCAATTGGTTGGAGTAGGAATTTTTGCTTTGGTTACGTTACTGAATTTCGCATTTAGCTGAAGTAGGGACCAAGTCACTCAACATTGATGCCTCGTGATCACATTCAATTTGATCTTCATTACTTGGATTGGTTTTTTTTTTTCTTTTTTTTTTTAATTCTGTCAATACCCTCGACCCTAGAGGTTATTTACTTGTCCCGGAGATTTGAATTACTGAGCTTATCTTCATTACTTGCTTGTTAGAAAAGAAATATGGCAATTCATCTAATGGATCAAGGAAGTAATATGCATGGATCATGCCCTTCACCTTCCTTAACTTAGGAAGACAAACTGGGAAAAGTATGAAACAAAGGGGTTTCTACGAGGTTGCCTTTGTCATATGCTTCCCTGAGATTCCATGCTCACGTCACCTGACAATTCAATTTCCCATAAAATCTTGAAGAAACTCTTGTTTGCAAATATAATTATTTTTATATCAATATAAACGATGGCAAGGGCATGTTCCTCTGCAAGTTCCGAGTCAGCAATTGCGTCTACCTCCCCTATGTCTGTTTGAAATATATATATATATATATATAAGCACTTTGGCAAATACCACTTGTAAATTACTAAGGTCACTAGCCATGAAGATGGTTTTCATGTTGTACTAAGTGATGATGCCAAGCTCAGAGATATCCAAAGTACTTCTTTGTTAATGTTTCATGATTAAAAGAAAATAAATAGGTGTGAGAATTCATGTAGAATATTTATACAAATTTAATTCTATATTTGATACTTGATTTTCTAAACAACTAATCAATAGATTAAAATTGTTACTGTTAAGGAAAACTTGTTATTTTAAATGTGAAAAAAGGGACATCAAGACAATTCTATTCGAAAAATGGGTTGAATTGAATTAAGTTCAATTAATTCAATCTGATCAATTTGATTAACGATCTTTTCAAATATTTTTTAGTTTGATTATTTTAGTTTATTTGGTTCGGTGTTCAATAAAAAAAATGTCTCTTGAATTATCGAATAATTTTTTTAAAATTATCATATATTATTTTTAATCCTAATTACATTTCTTTTATGTTAGTTTGTATTATATGTTATTTTAGATGTTACTTATCTGTTAGATGTAAGGTTTTATTTATATATATTTTTTTATTTAGATGTTTTAATTTTATTAATTAGAAATGTTTTAAAATTATTTTTTAAAATAAAAATAATTTCATTATATCGATTTTTAAGATAATCGACCGAACTAACTTAATTAATTTGGTTTTTTATGAATTCATTTTTCCTCCAAAATTTAGTCAATTCGATCAATTTTTAATAAAATTTTGATTTGTTTGATTTTCGAACTATACACACCGAATCAATTTAACTAATCATTTGCACTATCTTAAAACAAGAAGTTAGATTTTCTAAATATTGATTATTGGAAAAAAAAAAAGGAAAA